CCTCCAGTTTCCTGACTTAAAACACTGGTCCTGGTGGTTTAGAGACTTCAGCCTCACTTGTTCACTTTAAAATGTGAAATGTAAAAAGTTTCTGTACTGTTGTTTTCTGTATGCTTACATGCTTTGAAAATGCACCTTTTGAAGAGTTTTGCATAATCCAAGGACTTCTAGTGACTGTTTCTGTTCAGTTTCAGTGAAGGTAGATGTTCCTGCCTCATGTTTGCTGATTTATTATTATTATTATTATTTTCACAGAAGAAGAGAAAAAAAGAAAGAAAAGCAACAGACCAAATATAAAGGAAAAAGAAGAAGAAAAAACCCTAACTAACCCCTCAATTTAAACTAAACCCTCCCCCCTTTGGAGTCAGAGACTCCAGCCTCGTTAACCCCTCTACTCTCCCCAGTTTGATTTCCAGTATGTACTAGGTAGATATACATATACATATAAACTTTGCCCTACACTCCTGTCTTCTTCTGGGCCCAAGAGTATATTAGTTCCCAGCTTTGTTTTACATAATCTCTTGGTTGTTCCCGTAGTGCTTCTGATAGAGTGATGCTTGCTGATTTTTAAAGGTTTTTCTATGATGTTTAAAAAGTTAAAATTGTGACTGAAGTTTTTGAAATCATCTGCGCAATATGTATGGCTTTAAAGAGCACCTAATAAATCCTTTGTAAACCAAATTTGACTTTCTGCAGACTTTTTTGCCCATAGGAAGGCATTAATTAGACTTCAAGGCATTCCTATGGGAAACCGCATTTCACAAGACAAATTTTTCGCAAGACAACATTAACTGCAGAACGAATTAAATTTGCCTTGCAAGGCTGTTGGGTTCAGGCAATGAGCAGGCTGATGGGCTTTGTGGTGATCACCAGATAATAGGATAGCAAAGAGTCTCTTAGCAATAGATTAAGGAAGTCAGCCACACACACAAATGGATGTCTGCCAGCAGTACTCCTGGTGGGTGACTCATCAAGGCAGCAGAAGGAGAACTGTCTTTCTCTAACGTGACTCACTTTGTTCGCTCTCCATCTTATTAATGTGCCTATTGTATAATAATCCTTTTTATATTTATTCATGTATTTTATGCTGTAAGCCGCCTAGAGCGGTCATAACTGACCAGATAGGCAGGGTATAAATAGAATAAATAAATAAATAAACTCATCTGGCGCCCTGCCCCCCAGGAAACTGTCCTTTTATTAACATTACAAGGTCACAGGTGTTGACAGCATTACAGAGGGTAGACAGGGTTCAGATAGGACAATGGTCTGGGGAAAGGCAATTAATCAAGCCCTCTGATTGGCCTAAGGAAAATCCTCTATGGCAAGCTCTCTCTGATAATGAGAAAGAGGAAGAATGGTGGCAGCTCCTCCCCTCAGAAGCAGCCACAGGATGCTAGGAGAGTTTTCTCTACACTACAACAGCCATGTGGCTTAGCGACCTTGGGAATGGCACCCCCACACGAGGCACCACTGTAATGCTATCACTATTGGACTTGGACTTTGGAGACTTGATTTCTGTTCCATACTAGCCCATTAAACGCACTGGTTGACATTGGACCAATGATGTGCTTTCAGCCTGACCAACCTCATAGGTTTCTTGTGAGGATGAAGCAGGGAAGAGAACCTTGTATGTCCCCTTGGGATAATTGGAGGAAAAGATGGATAGATATTTGTTTATTTTATTTATAATATTTCTCCCCAAGAAGGACTCAAGGTGGACAATATTAAAAGCTAATAACAGTAAGTATTCAAATACTGAAAAGGATCAAACAGATGCCATTACTAAAAGACAATAAACAAAAGCAACACCAAAAATGCAGTCAAAGCAGTAAGGTACAGTTATACATTTAAAAAAGCCATTCAGGCAGGCAGTCATTAATGGAAAGCCTGCCTGAAGGGAAAGGTCTTGATCTGCTTGCTGACGGACAGCCTAGCCTCCTGTGGGAGAGAGTTCCAAAGTCTGGGAGCAGTGACGGAGAAGACCCTCTCCCATGTCCCCACAAAGCACACCTGTGGGGTAGCGGGACCAAGAGAAAGGCTGCTGTGATGATCATAAAGCCTGGCCAGGCTCATAGAGGGAAGTGCGGTCATTCAGATCGCTTGTAGTGTAATTGTAAATATAATAATCATATTATTCTTAATAAGCATATTTGGATTCCAAAAGATCTCCTGTATGGAGAATTAATGCAGGGAAAGCGCCCCAGAGGGAGACCACAGCTGCAATACAAGGATATCTGCAAGCGGGATCTGAAGGCCTTAGGAATGGACCTCAACAGATGGTAAACCCTGACATCTGAGCGTTCAGCCTGGAGGCAAGCGGTGCATCATGGCCTCTCCCAATATGAAGAGACCCTTGTCCAAAAGGCTGAGGCTGAGAGGCAGTCCCAAAACCAGCAAAATCAGGGAACTGGGCAGAGGACAGACTGTATTTATCTTCAATGTGGAAGGGATTGTCACTCGAATCGGCCTTCTCAGCCACACTAGATGCTATTCCAAGACCTCTATTCAGAGCACATTACCATAGTCTCTCGAGACTGAAGGATGCCTAATCTGAACAATCATATGCCATCAAGTCAATTCTGACTTATGGCAACCTCTTCAGGGTTTTCCAGATAGACAATGTTCAGAAGTCGTTTACCATTCCCTCTTCTGGGGGCACCCTGAGATTGTGCAGCTTGCCGAAGGCCACACAAGCTGGCTCTTTTTATAGGAGGTAGAGTGGGGAATCAATCTCCCAACTACCTAAAGCACTGAGCTACAAAGAGGAACAAGTGGAAGTGGAAAGGCAGGGAATAAATCTATGGTAGCCCCCTAAATCTTTTTCCTCTGCTGTTCCTATAAAATGGGATAAAGAAATGCCTGTATAAAGTGTCCTATTTATTCCATGCATGTTCTTGTTGAGAAT